TGAAAGCTTTTTTGTGAAAATGTATTGTAAAAAATTAAATCTATTTATTTTTAATATTTATTAATGATAATAATCCTAATATTAAGCTTGTTCATAATTATATTAATTAATTATATCTACATATTTAATATATTTGATATATTGTGTATACAATCAACTTAGTAATATAAGATATAGTAAAAATAAATTTGTTGAATGTTTAATTCATCATTGTAATATTATATATATTTTTTTAAAAAATTTCTCATTAAACTGATTAGTATTATTTTATAATTAATTACTTATTACTATTTTATTTTAGTTTTTAAAATTTTTTCTTTTTTATATTATTTTAATGCAAAATTAAAGGCCTTAATTCAAGAGAAAATATTTTAAGTAGGATTTTAAGTTTTATTATAAAATGTGATAAATAACTACTTATAAATATATTGAAAGTATGTTACATCTAGAAAAGAAGTAAATATTATATTATTATTTTATTTTTATTGTTATTAATTATTATTAATAAAATTAATTAATTTATTTTATTTAATATAGATAACTTAAAATTATTAGAATTTAATAATAAATAAACATGTTATTCAAATTATTAATCATTATAATTTTTTTATTTATTTAAAAATTCATTATTTTGTGTTTTTTTATTAAAATAAGTAGTATTAATAATAGAAGAATAAAATATAACACTTGAAAGATTATTATATATATTTAATTAAGATAGCTATAATAATTAAAAAAATTACCATCTAATCAGTATCTTCAATTTTATACATATTGTATTAAAATTTTAAATATTCAATTTAATGATAATTTATATTTATTTTATTATTTTTTATTAACAAATTTAAAGGTAAATATTATTTTTTAATTAAATTATTATTTAATTTTATTAATAATTAATAAAATATTTAAATTTATAGCTTTAGGATTAAAAAATAAGCAGTTTAAATAAATTGTTAAATGTTAGCTATATATAACATAATATAGGTTATGATTTAGCAAATGATAATATTTTAACTACACATAAGGTTGCTAGATGAAACTTAAAGATTTTGCAAGTTATTTAAATAGAAAAAGATGAAATTTAACAAAATTATATTAAAAAATCTACAAAATTCTGAAAAAGATAAAACTTATCAAAATTTATAAAAATGCAAAGCTATATCAAAACTTTAATAAAAAATTAATAAAACTATAGTTTAGATATTTTGTCAAATTCAAAATGAGTTTAGATGAGTAACCTTAACTACACATTTTCAAAAATATAAGAATTCTAAAGAATTATATAATAAATTATTTATATCAGAAAAGGATAACCTAATAAGTTAGTAGAATTCAATTAAATCTATTTCAAATTTCCTTCAAATAATAGCTTTAAAAATTATTGCTATTATTCCAAATAGTGTTTTTTATGAAAAAAATTTTTCTTTACTTAATTGGTTAACAAATAATAAGCATTTTTAATTAAATATCTAAAATTTAGCAAAATGTGCTATTTTTTAATAAATTTTAAAAAAGAACTTTCATATTTTTTAGTAAAAAAATAACAGAAAAATAAGTTTTATAAATTTTATATAAAGTAAATAGACAAAATTTAGAAGAAGAAAATATTAATAAGAAAGAATTATTATAATCTATTAATTGATCTTTTTCAAATATAAGATTTGCAATTGCAAAAAAAATAATGAAATTTTAATTTTTAGAATCAAGTTTATATTTAAATAAAAAAAATTTTAATAATTTAGAAAAAATATTTGATAAAGATAATGATAGTGATTTTTTAATGAATAAGATTTTGAAAATAAAAATTCTAAAAAATAAAGAATTAGAAAATGTAAACAGAAATGTTAGTATTTTTAATTGGAATTTAAATGATTTAATAAATAATAATAATTAGATTTATATAATATACAGTCAACTCTTAGTATAATGAATTTTATATTCTAGACCTCAATTTCGCTATAAGGCTATAGTGAAGATTTTAAGAGATTTGATTGGCTAATTCATTATAACAAGAGTATTTTTATTATATTTGTTCAAAAAATTCGTTATATCAAGAGTTTGCTATATCAAGAGTTGATTGTATATACTTTTTCAATAAAAGTAATATTATCTAAATTATAATAAAATTTATATTTAATAAATTAATATATTCTTATTAATTTTGTTTACATATAAAAATTATTAAATTTTAAATTTTTTTTGAAATATACCCTTTTGCATTTATATATATATAAGGTTTAATAATATCTAAACCTTTTGATATTTCAACTTTTTAAAATAAAATAATAAAAGTTTAAATAGGTTTTGATTTAGATATTGTTAAAATTTCAATATTTTGTTAGGTAACTATATGATAAATTGATTTATCTTAATAAAAATCAATTAAAAAATATATATATTAAATTGCCAAATAATTTATTAAAATTATATTTATTTAATATGAAAATTTGCTATTTATTTATTAAAATATCAAATATACATTCTTTATAGCCTAATAAAATTAAAAAAATTATGATTTTTAGATTTTACTAAACTTTTGGTTAGGGAGTATACAGTGACTTCTATAATTATTGTATTACTTCATTTAAATTTTTAAATTATCATATCTTATAATTAAATAAATATATAAATAAAAAATTTAGATAATTTAAAAGTTCATGACTTCATTTTTAATATATATAAATTTTGTTAATATTTATTTTATGGTTTATTGAAAAATATCACATTATGTATTTTTTTTGTGATATAATAATTTTGGCATTTTAATACATGAGTAAATAAAGGTGTAAACATATGATAAATTTTATATATAAGTAGACTAAACTTGTAGATCAGTCTGTATCACATTCTCACAATTTTTTTGCATAATTATGAAGCTGATTCTACTTTATCAAAGAGAACGTATATTTAACCTTCTTCAAGAAGGGTATCCAAATCATACTATTGCAGCTCGTGTAAAAGTTAGTTATGTTTTTGTATTAAAGATAAAAAAATTAAAAGAAAAAACAGGTAGTCTTAATATTGGTCTAAGACCAAATTGTCTAAGAATACTTATAGAATGTTATGATAGAAATATTGCTAAACTTGTCAAGTCAGATGAATGTTCAAATGTTATTCAAGTTTGAAAAAAATTAATTTCTGATGAAAATATTATCATTTCTTCAAATACAATTAAATGCTTATTAAGAAGATAAGGTTTTGTAGTTAGAGTTAAAAAGAAAAAGCCATTACTTCTAAAATGACATAGAATTATTTAAAAAAAGTTTGTCCAAAAGTATCATAATTGGACTATAGAAGATTGGCAAAGAGTGGTATAGTTAGATGAGAGTAAATTTATGATCTTTAGATCAGATAGAAGGAAATAGTATTAGAAGGATTCAAATTTACCATTAAAGCTACAATATATTAAGCTAACTGTAAAATTTGGTAGAGGTTCTGTTATGGTATTGGATTGTATAGGTGTATTTGGTGTTGGATTATATTGTAAAATTGATAGATGAATGAATGGAGAGCTGTATCGTGAGATTTAGATGATGAGTTTATGGAAAATCTTAGTGAATATAATTTAAGTATAAATGATGTTATCTTTCAATAAGATAATGATCTAAAACATATGGTAAACAAAATATACAAATGGTTTGATAACAATAATATTGAAATTTTAGATTGGTCAGTATAATCACCAGACCTAAATCTTATCAAGCATTTGTAAAATAAAATAGATCGTTGCTTGCAGCAACTTCCTAATAATATTACTAGTAAGGATGATCTATGGGATAAGATACAGTTAGTATAGAATGAAATTGATGTTGCCTCTTATTTAAAGCTAATTAATATGATGTTACAAAGAATTAAAAATGTTCTTAAAGCTAGTAGGGGATATACGAGATGGTAATAATTATATTAAAAAAAAATTTAAATATATTTAATTAATAATAGGACGAAAAATTACTTTAATTAATTTTTTTTTAATATGTGCCAAAAATATTATACCACGAAATTTTTATTCATCAACAGTTTTTTTTAACAAGTCATTTATAAAGTTCAAAGTAATTTGAATATGTAATAAAGGAAGATCCAGGCTTTATGTTAATAAAATTTTATATGCTATATGATTATTGAATCTTGAAATATTAAAGTTTAAAAATTTTAAACGGTGTGATACAATAATTATGGAAGTCACTGTATATAATAATATATCTGATTATACACTCTATTTTATAGATATCTATGATTGCAGATTTAAATTCTTAATAATTAATAAATTATTGCAATTTTTTAGTAAAATTACTCATTTAATTATTATATAACTTAGATATCTTAGATTATTTTATTAATACATTTTATTTTTACATAATCTCATTTAGAATTGTTCACCTTATATTATTATACTCTATGTTTTTCATTTTACAAAGTATTTTGATTTTTTTCTTTTATGGACGGGATTGATGAATTGATTAGTTGAATGCTTCTAAATAACCAGTTTTTTTTCATAGGATATATGGAATCTTTGCAATAGAAGGGGGAATACTGCAGGAAAAATCAATTTTACTTTTATATATCAAATATGAATTTTAGGTCAAATATGTTCAGATTTAGCATTAACTCAGTTTTTTATTTTTCCAGCCGTTTTCCCTTTTCTATTGCAAAGGTCTCATCTTGTATATACTATTCTCATTAAAAAAAATCATATCATGAGGACTTTACTAGGTTGGGAAAGTTTTGTCTTAAATATCATTTTCATAGGAAACTATTATTATTTATTTTTTCGCACATTATATATTAATGATGATTATATGCTGCAGTTAATAGAAAGCAATTCATTAATTACATTGTTATAAAATATTCGATAAATTCATGATTATTATAATTATAAATAGTTTATTTATAAAAAACAAAAAATTAAATAATGGCCAAGAAGACAGTTACAAAAATTATTAAGCATACAAATTCTTCACACATTTCTTAAGTGTTACATATAGTCTCCAGTTTATAGCTCAGCGATGATTTGCAATCGAAATATGCTCAATTACTTGATTATGCTTCCAATTTGATTTAAAAGGATTCCAAATTGACTTATAAGCATCCCTGTTCCTTGCTTGTTTATACTTAATCATTGCGTCTACTTTATCGATAGTTATATCTCCTGTCCTTCTCATTACTATTTGTAACCTATCGAATGTTCCTTTATTTTTTATTGCGCCACCGTTATCACATTCTATGGCATTAATGAAAAGTTCTGAAAAGGAAAAGAACTTTTGCTTTGTAAAGTTTTTATTATAAAAATTTAAAACTTTCTTCTGCCATTTGGTTATAATCTTGTATATATCTTCCACAGTGTCTACGGCATCTTCCACTAGACAAATTTTTGAATTACCTTTAAATAATAATTTCGTTTAAGATCAAGTATAATTATTATCTTTTTAATAAGATTTATAGATACATAGTACTTTATTTACTTTCAATTAAAATTAAGAATTTGTTATTTTTTTTATTTTATTCTAATTTCCAGGTTCTGTCACGCATTGATATACTATCGTGAGATCTTCAGTTAAATTTGCATTTTTATCGAGACAGAAACAGTTTCCTTTTTTTATGAGAATAGATGCCATTTGTTAAATAAAAATAAAATAAACAGCTTTTATAAAAGATTTGTCGAATGAAAAAATAAAAAAAAAGTAGAAGAGGGAAAATTCTACTGCTTTATATAAAAAATTCATCCTCATAATGGAGAAATTTATAAATTCTATCAGAATTCAAATGCAATTAAATTAAATTTTAAAATATAATTTTGTGTTTTTGAACATTAATAGTTAAATTATAATTAAATACAAAAAAAAGTCGACTATAAAGAAGAATTACTATAACGAGTTGTTAAATTAAATTCTCCTAGTTAAAAGATTTTTCAATTTGTCAAAGTACTTGTTTTACTTCATTCATTCAACTTGTAGCATACATAATAAATTATCGCATTTTAATTATCAAATTTAATTAGAGTTTGAGAAGAAAGCTTTAAATCCATGTTATCTTTTCCTATCTTCATTTCTATATAACTTTTTTATATTTAACATTCTTTTTATTTAACATCTGAACAAAGCCTTCATTTTAACTTCTTATGAGCTACTTTTAATAGGTCATAAAATCGAATCAGATCACCCTAACTTTATAAGTAAAATTGATCAATGATATATTAGCCATTACCTAGTATTCAGTATTGCCTGAAAATTTTCAATCCACATGACCTCCAATATTTGTCACCTGCGTATCGTTTTTGTGATAAAAAATATTTGTCATTAATTATATGTCGCCGGTCATGTGAGAGTGAAATTTTACATATTTGTCACAATTCTGTTTTTCAAAATTTTTACTACTTAGTGTCTATCAGTGTATGATTTTCAAACCTAAACATATGTGCGAAAAATGCATACTATATATGGTGAGAATATGATGATAATATGTGCCAAAATTGTGATGGAAAGTGTGCAAATATTATATATTAAATATTTTTACTAAAGATATATGTATAAGAAATGTTAAGTGCGGAATGCGGACTAGGGCCCCTGATTGTGATGATTAGAACCTCGTCATGATAATTGATATGATATCTACTAAGTTTACTAGTATATATAGTTACACTTATATTACTTAGAAGAATTATTCCCAAAGTGTACGATACGGTTATCTTAATGTGATATCTTCATAATCAGGGGTCCTTGCGAACTGCGCACAAATATTTTTTTGAAATGTGCGGAAATTCACCAATCATACTACCAAAATCATACCCTAGAAATTTTTTGATCACATGATTTTTGGCCCGCATTATGTATAATCCCAAAACCTGGTCTAACCTAAATCTAAGATGTGATGATACGTGAAGAGTGTGACGCAGATGATAAATAATGTATATCACGTGATTGAAGAATTTTTCTAGGGGTAATTATACACACGAGACTCATATTTCATTTTTATCCGGTATATGGACTATCACTTTATGCCGTAATTCAGCGTTATCGCCAACGTTTTTTTCCACCCCACGTGATCATATATAATTTGTCACGACAGAATATTTTTTCAGAATGAAAATTTCTATTTGTCACCTAATTTGTCACGCGGACAAGTTCAGTAATGACGACTAATAAATCACGTGGGTGAAAGGTGCTGGCGATATGACTAGTCGATTTTAAATCTAGGTATGGTGGCTATCACCTATAAACCACACTAATATTGTGTAACTCTAAAATTTTATAAGTAGAGAATAAGATAATAAA